TATTACTTTTCGTAATCTCTACCTTCTCAGTTGAGCATTTCTTCTACAGAAGAAGAAGAAAAGAAGTAGCGTTATTTCCTCTTCATTCAAGGGGGACCTCAAACATCTTAAAATAATGGACTAGATACTCAGCCAATGTATATCAGCATAGTTTTTTATTCAAGTCAATAGCGATATGTTGACTTAGATAAGCAGAGGAACTTGTACATGGAACCCTCCAATTATAGAGGTTGAACTAAATTAATATTAATTGAGCAAGTTTTGCAGCGTACATGTACGATAACATTATGCCTTTATGATGAAGACTACTAAATAACAAAAGTAACAGCTTCAAGGGAAAAATTCTTTGATAGATTCATTCAAAGTATTCTTTAAAATGTATTTTAAACTGCGATCTTTTTATGCCTTTTGGCCTAGAGTGACAGCAAAGCATATTCTTAAATGATCTATAATTACAGGCAGTCCCTGGGTTACGTACAACATAGGGACTGTAGGTTTGTTCTTAAGTTGAATTTGTATGTAAGTCGGAACTGGTACATATTGTAGGGGAAACTCTAGCCAAACATTTCTCCAGAGCTCAGTTTTATTCTCCCACACCTCACTTCCCTCAGTCCTTTATTCTCAAGCTGAGGTGTCTGCTGAGAAAAGCTGCTCCATGTCTCCCTGGTCTGCTGGGGGGAAGCAGCTAGTGCGGGGTTGCCTCACCCCGTTTGTAAGTAGGGATCCGATGTAAGTCGGATCCATGTAACCCGGGGACTGCCTGTATACTAAGAATGGTCTTATTCCTCCATCCAATAAAAGCAGGATTGGATGCAACAGGCCAGTTTTTTAGCTAGAGGAAACTAGAGGAACATGGTTGCTGTAAATATTTTGAAGCTACCATAGGGTTTTTCCATTGATATGAACTGAGCTATGCCAATTTACATCAGCTGATGTTCTCGCTATTAAATTATAATATTTCAGGAAAGAGCATCCAGAGACTTAATGTAAATCTATTTAGTAAACATATTTTACCAGAACAAAGAATACTCTATAAAATAGTCATGGAAGTTACAAAACATATCAAATGTCCTAAAATGTCGTTTTCTTTAGGTTTGTGTGGCAATATAAGGGTCGGGGGATTATATACAAGCATAGCTACAAAATTCACATGAAAATTTTTACAAATGTTATCCATATCTTGACTAAATAAGTCTGCTAATTGAACATATATTTCTATGGTCTTTGTTGTGTAATGTACCAAGAAATCATCAGAGCTTCAAGCACTGTCAGATCTCATCTACATTAGGACCTTAGTCTGAAATTCGCCCCCAGGTTGATTTTCTAAGCAATGTGTCCGAGCTTGCTCTTTCAAAATAAGAGGATGCAGAATTCGAACTCTGTAGTTCTGCTTTTCACGAGAAGTAATGCTATTCCCAAACTTGTAAGTCTGAAATAACGTTAGTGTAGATGCTCCGGTGCTGCTAATTTGAATTAATTGGCCTCCAGGAGTCCTCCCACAGCTCCCCAGATTGCTTGCTGGGTTTCTGAGTCCGAAGTAAGCTCCATTAATGTGGATGCACTCCCTGGGACTACATTCCATTCTTCCCCGTAGTGAGGACATGGATCTTCAAATTTGCAAAATTGGGTGCCTAGAAGTAGAACTTAGTAAATTCAAAATAATCACCTTATATAGACAAGGCCTCAGGTAACACCAGAGAACGACAGCACGTATAAATTAATACTGGAATGAAGGTAAAAAATGCTTACAAAATTATTCATTTGAAACGTCAGAATTAAACCGCAAACTGGTTCACCTTGTTTAGATAGCTGGTGCTATTAATACACTTCTGGATAAATAACATATTAATTTATCTATTAGCTGTAATCAAATACATTAGCTTAGATCCTTCTCTCTAGCAGTAGAACCTGAATGAAAGCTCTCTGGGAGGAAGAAAACTCTCAGAGGAATTTTTCCAAAATAATTATCAGGAAGGTGCAGGATTTACCAGTAATTACTTGTTGCTCTCCTGTCCTCCATAAAATAGGGAGCAATTTAGCTCAAAAACTCATGATCCCTAAGATATGCAAGTTTTTAGGAGAACAGCTCCTTCTATTCTATTACCCTTTTCCCTCCAGGCTTCTAGAGAGTTCTATAATGTTCTTGTTCTTCCTAATAGACATAACAAGACTTTTGATGTACTTGTTGCTTCTATTTTAATTTCTTTAGCTGTGTTGAAATTCTTATTCACACCCTGAAATTGGCGTTCAAAATTTCTAATATTTAAAGAAAAGCTTGTTCAAATATGCCACATCCACGCAAATACTTCAGAGTGATACCGATTGTGTGTATATATATATATATAAAGGTCAATACATCACTAAGCTGGAAGTGGGAGTTAGTTTTTTTTTTCCCCTGAAACAAACAGCTTAAACTACCCGTTCTTAAAAAATAATGCCAATAATCCACCCAAAGATTCACAACATCCCATTCTCACACTGAATACTATATGTGATTTATCTTGTATTGTAATAAAGGGGGGGAAATGTAATTAATACAAATGTGAAGAGAGCCATTCAATTTATACTTATCATATAGGAGTGAAATGGGGTCTAGGACTAAACCTGGCTCCCAACCTCCGTTCTTAAAAAATAATGCCAATAATCCACCCAAAGATTCACAACATCCCATTCTCACACTGAATACTATATGTGATTTATCTTGTATTGTAATAAAGGGGGGGAAATGTAATTAATACAAATGTGAAGAGAGCCATTCAATTTATACTTATCATATAGGAGTGAAATGGGGTCTAGGACTAAACCTGGCTCCCAACCTTTTAGACTTAGTGCAAATGGGTTCCAGAGAGGAAGCCTCTGGCAAAGGTGTCCTTACCCATATATAAAATATGCAGTTGCATCAGGCATCCAAAAATGTGGGGTACCCTGTGTCTTATTGTCCACCCATCTGCCTCTTCCTGCTTCCTCCACAGAGGAGCTAGTTAACTTAAAAGTGAAAAAGCTATTAGCAGAACATCAAACCTGTGAAAAAGCCATTCACATGATAATGAAGCCATTTTACAGGCATTTGCCCACCCCAAGTATTTATTGTCAATTTCTGAATATACTGTCAAATAGTCCTGCCACACCTAGTCCTGCCTGCCACACCGGGGGTATGTCTACACCACCACCCTAGTTCGAACTAGGGTCGTTAATGTAGTCAATCGAAGTTGCAAATGAAGTCTGGGATTTAAATATCCCGGGCTTCATTTGCATCTTGCCGGGCTCTGCCATTTTTAAATCCCCAGTAGTTCGGACTCCATGCCCGCGGTTACACGCGGTACGGACTAGGTAGTGTGTATTAGGCTTTCTAATTCGAACTACCGTTACACCTAATTCCACGAGGACTAACAGTAGTTTGAATTAGAAAGCCTAATTCGAACTAACTACTCCATGCCGCGTGTAGCCGCGAACACAGAGTCCGAACTACCGGGGATTTAAAAATGGTGGAGCCCGGCAAGATGCAAATGAAGCCCGGGATATTTAAATCCCAGGCCTCATTTGCAACTTTGATTGACTACATTAACCACCCTAGTTCGAACTAGGGTGGTAGTGTAGACATACCCCTAGAGATTATCAAAGTATGTAGTATTATGAGCCTGCAGGGTAAAACCAATTTCATCTGATGAACTTATTGTATTAGAACTTGTCTACACTGGCATGTTTTGTCATCAAACCCCTTTTTGGCTACAAAAAACTGGAGCGTTCACATTGCAATGCAACAAAAGTAAAAAAATGCCCAGTTTTGGTGACAAAAAACTTCCGCCTCTGTGAGGAACTTTGGTCCCTCCCCCTCTCTTTACTGTTGACAATCATGCAGTGTCTACTACAGGAAGCTTTTTTTCAAGTTTATTGACCTCCAGGATATTTCTCACAGTGCCCAATTAGCCCCTCTGGCCTGCACTTTGAACTCTACTGCTCTGCGGCCACATAAGCAAGTAAACAGAAATGTGCCCCTCCCTCC